TCCTCGCCTCGACCCGCGCCTTGAGAAGGCTGCAGCAGGTGCGTTCCCTTCCCTTCCTCTCCCACTCTGCGTCCTTCCTCTACTCTTCTCTGTTAATAGATTCGTATTTCCTCGCTAACCACTTACCACATCCCCTTTTGAGGCGCCTCAAAAACGTTAACCACTGACCCCACATCCCCCACGCATACGATGACCCTGTGTGTGTGCCACATGCAAACCTAGACTTTACCATCCTTTCCCCACACCCTCCTCCCCCCCAACCCCCTTCCGACCCCATCAGACCTGTATGCGGTGATGCGCAAGCTAGCAGAGGCGGCAGCAGCAGCGAGGCAGAAGCGAGAGAGGAAGGCCTTCAAGGCAGCTGCTGCTGCTTCCGCCGCTCTTCTTGGCGCTGCTCCTGCTGATGCCGAGGCTGCTGCTGCTGCTGCTGCTGCTGCTGCTGGTGGTGATGATGCTACGTTGCAAGAGAGGGTTGAGAAGTGCACAGATGAGGGAGGAGAGGAGGGGAAGGCAGAGGGAGAGGCAGACGGTGCTGCTGCTGCATCGACAGCAGCAGAACCAGCAGCAGGAGAAGGAGAGAGCGCCGCCGCCGCAGCAGGACCCCCAGTGGATCCCGAAAAAGAAGCATCGGAGAAGCTTCCCTTGCTGCGCAAGCAAGCAACAGCGTCGCGAATGGCGTCCCTACAGAGCCGGCTAGCAGCCATGACGGCAGCAGCAGAGGCCAACCCCGAGGAAGAGGAGAAAGCAGAAGGTGGCGCAGGGAGAAAAGGCGCGGGCGGAGCAGAAGCAGAGGAGGAGGAGGAGGAGGGGGACGAGGATGATGAGGAGACGAGGGCGTGTCGGCGGTTGTTCAAAGGGCTCGTGTTCTTTCTCGGGCGGGAGGTGCCCAGGGAGCCGCTGCTGTTTGTCATCCGCGCGTTTGGGGGCAAGGCCAGCTGGGAAGGGGAGGGCGCGCCTGCACCTGAGACAGATGAAGCCATCACGCACCAGGTGAGCAATCTCTGAGTCCCTGCATAGCAGTCTATTCCCGAGCAGCAGTCTACCAGGTGGGCTCATGTTCTTTCTCGGCCGGGAGGTGCCCAGGGAGCCGCTGCTGTTTGTGATCCGCGCGTTTGGGGGCAAGGCCAGCTGGGAAGGGGAGGGTGCACCGGCTCCTGAGACTGATGAAGCCATCACTCACCAGGTAGGCACTCCCTGGGTAGCAGTCTACCAGGTGGGCAGTGCTTTTGAGGTGCACCGGCCGGGAGGGCAGGGCGTTCGGAGGCAGGGCAAGCTGGGAGGGCGAGGGGGCACCGGCTCCTGAGAGTGATGAAGCCATCACTCACCAGGTAGGCACTCCCTGGGTTGACTTTTGAGGCATCTCAAAAGTTACCTATGAGTGTGACGAGGCCATTACTCACCAGGTGGGCAGTGCTTTTGAGGTTCACCAGCTGGGAGGGCGAGCTGGGGTGGGAGGGAAGGGCGTTCGGAGGCAGGGCGAGGTGGGAGGGCGAGGGGGCACCGGCTCCTGAGAGTGATGAAGCCATCACTCACCAGGTGGGCCGTGCTTTTGAGGTATATCGGTTGGGGGGGCGAGCTGAAGGGCAGGGCGTTCGGGGGCAGGGCAAGCTGGGAGGGGGAGCTGGGAGGGGGAGCTGGGTGCGCCGGCTCCTGAGACTGATGAAGCCATTACTCACCAGGTGGGCACTACTTGTGAGGTGCCCCAAACGTGAGACAGTTGTTTTTCGACGCCTAAAGTTTGTCTCGCCTGAAAATTCGCTGGCCCCCGAGAGTGACGAAGCCATTACGCACCAGGGGGGGGGGACAGTCCCTGAGCAGCAGTCTACCAGGTGGTCTCATGTTCTTTGTCTGAGAGTGATGTCTCCCTTTGTCTGAGAGTGATGATGACTCGCTTCCTTATGCACCGGGGGGGCAGTCCCTGAATACTTGCATTGCAACTCCCTGCTGCTGACTCCTTCCTCACCCACTTCCTTCCTCTCTCCTCTCCTCCGTCCTCCCTCCTCCTTCCCCCACCGCCACGCCATCAGATGGTGGATCGGCCGCAACAGAGGCACCGCAATCTCTCCTTCTACTCACTTCATTCCCTCTCCTTCTCCCCTCCCTCCTCACTCCTCCCTCACCCCCCCACCGCCACGCCATCAGGTGGTGGACCGGCCGCAGCAGAAGCACCGCAATCTCTCGCGGGACTACGTGCAGCCGCAGTGGGTGTTTGACTGCTCAAGGCATCTCCTCTCTCCTCTTTCTTTCCTCCCTCCTCCCTCCTCCCTCTCCCCCCACCCTTCTCCTCCCCCCTTAACCCACGCCATCAGGTGGTGGACCGGCCGCAGCAGAAGCACCGCAATCTCTCGCGGGACTACGTGCAGCCGCAGTGGGTGTTTGACTGCGCCAATGCACGCATCCTGCTGCCCTCCGCGCCCTACGCCCCTGGCCTGTGAGTGCTGCCCCTCCGCAGTGCAAGTACCTACCCTTCCTGCCCACAGCCTCTCCCCTTCCCCCCTCCCCGTCCCTCGTCAACCCCACCCACACCATCTTACCCCTGATCCTTTCAATCACACGAGCAGCATGCCCCCGCCCCGCCTCCCCCCTTTTGTGAACCACGAGGAGAGAGGGGCCATTTGCCTAATGAGGTCCATGTGACTCTTCACGCGCTTGTTTGAAGTAGTGTTTTGAGACGTCTCAAAACACTATCAAGCACGAGGAGAGAGGGGGCATTTGCCTGATGAGGACCATGTGACTCTTCACTCACTCCATTTCACAAGCATTTCTGAAGCGTGCTAAGTATCCCCCTCCCCCTCCACCTCATCCTTTAACCCCATGTGCAGTGTGCCACCGCCCCATCTCTCCCCCTTGGTGAACCACGAGGAGGAGGGCTATCTGCCCGACTATGCCCATGTGACTCTCCAGTCTCTCCATCCCACTCTCTTCCCCCCTCCCCCGCCTCTCCCCCCAGTGTACCGCCGCCACATCTCTCCCCCTTGGTGAACCACGAGGAGGAGGGCTATCTGCCCGACTATGCCCATGTGACTCGCCACTCACTCCATCCCACACTCATATCTAAAATGCGTGCAAGTATCTCTTCCCCCCTTCCCCCCCTCGCCCCCCTCTCCCCCCAGTGTACCGCCGCCCCATCTCTCCCCCTTGGTGAACCACGAGGAGGAGGGCTATCTGCCCGACCCATGTGACTCTTCAGGGTGTGCAATTGTTTCCTCTCCCCCTCTTCCCTGCTGATCCCTTGTACCCCACGAGCAGCGTACCGCCGCCCCATCTCTCCCCCTTCGTGAACCACGAGGAGGAGGGCTACCTGCCCGACTATGCCGCGGCAATCCAACGGCTGAAAGAGGCCGCAGCGGCGCGAGATGCTGCACAGCACAAGGGGGCGGCAGGGGGCATGCTGGGCATGGGGGGAGGGGGGGCGCTGATGGAGCTGGAGGGGGCGCATGAAGTGAGGATGAGTGGGGAGGGGAGTGTGGCAGTGGGCGGAGGGGAGGACGAGGTGAAGGCAGAAGAAGCTGCACTGGCTGCCAAGATTGCAGAGGTGAGAGCGGGCACCATCTCTTTTCGTCAGGCTGAATTCTTTAGTTCGTTTCTCTTAGTTGTAGCTGTGGTATTGGGGCGAGGGGAGTGTGGCAGTGGTGGAGGGAGGGGGGGATGAGGTGAAAAGCTGAGGAGGCAGCGCTGGCTGCTCAGATTGCAGAGGTGAGGAAGGCATCAACCGATTCCTGGCTGGATGACTTTTGAGTTGACTCAAAGGTCAGCTAGGCTGCACTGGCTGCTAAGGTTGCAGAGGTGAGAGAGAGAGCACCACCGGTTTCTGGCTGGTTAATATCTCAGCTCTTTCGAGGGATTGGTTAGGCCCCATGAATTGCGGCTCTGCCTTCCCTTCCTTCACCTGTCATGACGCGTCATGTTACGTGATTGTGCCTTGGCTGTGGTAACCAGGTTGCGGCAGAAGAGAAGGCATACGCTGCTGATCTGGCCAAAGAGCTCTCAGGCGTCCCCTTCTCGTCCTCGCTGGTCCAAGGCAAGGGTAGCAAGGACGGGGAGGAGGGAGATGAGGGCGATAACACAGCGGATGGAGAGGAAGAGGGCGAAGGAGGCAAGGCAGACGAGGAGGAAGAAGATGAGGAGGATGAGGACGAGGAAGAGGAGGATGACAAGGAGGAGAGGCGAGGAGGAGCAGCGGCAGTGCCAGCTGCGGCGGAGGAGAATGAGGAGGACGGGGGCAAGGCAGCAGCACGCATGCTGATGAGTCGCAAGAGGAGGGGGTTGTATGATGCCATGCAGATGGGGCGAGCCAAGAAGGCCGCCGGTGTTGCTCTCCTGCACGAGCGCCGCCTCAAAGCCGCCGCTGCTGCCACTGCTGGTGGTGCTGGTGCGAAGGGTGCTGGTGGTGGTGGTGCTGCTGCTGCTGCTGGTGCAAAGGGTGCTGGTGAGGGTGGTAAGAAGGGTGGGCAACAGGGGAAGAAAGCGAAGCAGGAAAAGAAGGGCTGGCGATAAGAGGAGTCCCTAGTGCTTCTATTATTAAGAGGCTCTTGTATTGGATCATTTTCTGTTGGTACCACTGTAAAGATGAACCACTTTCTGGAATCTGGAACCTACGGTATGTGGTGCTTGAGGAAAGAATAAGAGGGTTTAGCGACGTGGGGCCCAGCTCAGCTGCCTCCTTACGTCTGTTCGCTCGGGTATGTTGATTGGCTCACATGTGGTAGGTGGTAGATTGTTGAATACTTGAGTATGAAAAGGAAACCATAACCATTAACATTTGTTGCGGAGCAATGTACCAGCACGGCATTGCACTTGTGCGGTACACTTTTGCTCACTTTGTGCCCATTATAACAAATCTGTACACAAGCCGACCCAGCAAGCGCTGTCCCCATAAATCAAAGTATGCTCTGCTGTGTTGTGGTGGTGAGCTTGCCTAGCGTACCAACCAACACAGCGCAGCTCAACAGTGCAATACACCGCATCGTGTAGCACATATACCGTATGTTTGCCAAGCATCACAGATCTGCAATCAGTTTGGCTATTCTGTCGCGCCGTCTGTTGCGCTCCTCCTCTCCATCCAGGTCGCCGATGTTGTCGCTGTACTCCTGATGATGGCACACGCACACACACACACACACACACACACACACACACACACACACACACACACACACACACACACACACACACAAGGAGCACAAGAAAGGGGGAACAGAAGTGTAGGTAGGAACGGACATGAGACTTCTGCCTTTTCCCCATCCAGGTCTCCAATGTTGTCGATGTACTCCTGATGATGGCCACACACACACATACACAGTGAACGGAAGGAGGGGGGAGAATGGAAGGGGGAATGGAAAGGGTGGGAACTTGGAAGAGACATGAGACTTGTGCCCCTTCCCCATCCAGGTCCCCAATGTTGTCGCTGTACTCCTGATCATGGCACACGCACACAGTGAGAGAGCGGGGGAATGGAAGGGTGGTAAGAGAAATGAGACATGAAACTTCTGCCTCCTCCCCATCCACGTCCCCAATGTTGTCGCTGTACTCCTGATCATGGCGCACACACACACAGAGGGAGGGAGGGAATGTAAGAGTGGGAAGAGACATGAGCATTCCGCAGTTGAATTATCCCCCTCACCTACATTATCCCCCTCACCTACATTATCCCCCTCACCTACATTATCCCCCTCACCTACATTATCCCCCTCACCTACATTATCCCCCTCACCTACATTATCCCCCTCACCTACACTATCCCCCTCACCTACATTATCCCCCTCACCTACATTATCCCCCTCACCTACATTATCCCCCTCACTTCCACTATCCCCCTCACCTGCAGAATGGCCTTCACATGGTCTCTTGAAAGCTTCTGCTGTCGCAGCAGCAGATCAATACGGTGCCTCATGCCCCCATGCCTGGCAGAATGGGAGGGGAGATGGGCAGGAGAGAAGCTGTTTAAGCGCCTCACAAACAGCTTCTGCTGTCGCAACAGCAGGACGATACGGTGCCTCATACCCCCATGCCTGGCAGCATATGAGAGGTGATGAGCAGGAAACGAGTTGAGCGATGAGCAGGAAACGAGTTGGGCGATGAGCAGGAAACGAGTTGAGCGATGAGCAGGAAACGAGTTGGGCGATGAGCAGGAAACGAGTTGGGCGATGAGCAGGAAACGAGTTGGGCGATGAGCAGGAAACGAGTTGGGCGATGAGAGTGGAGATGAGAGAGAGATGGTGCGAGGACGAGAGATGATCTGAAGAAACGGATAAGGGAGGCGGGAAAGGACGTGCCTGGGATAGAGCATGTGGTAAGAGAGGGAGGGAGGGAGAGTTGGAGGGGACAAGGGAAGGAGGCTGTGAGTGGTAGCAGTGAAAGCAATGGGGCGCCACACAAGGGGACAAGGTAGATAAGGAGTTCTTTATGCGAAGGGATTGATGAGGCAAGCGAAGAACGAAACATGGCATGTGGCAGGAGGCATGTGGCAGGCGGCATGTGGCAGGCGGCATGTGGCAGGCGGAATGTGGGTGTGCTTACTCTGCAGCCCAGAGGTGGGCGAGGATGAGAGCGATGAGCTGATGATGGCGATGACACGACACCCACGGTGGTGATATGGTGACGATGATGGCGGCAACAATGGGGATGTCGGTGGTTGTGACAGTGATGATGGTGCCGATGGCGACAATGGGGATGATGGTGGTTATGGCGGTGATGATAGGAGTGGCCCATCCCACAAGCGGGTGTTAAGAGACGACATGCAGGATGGGGGGGTGTTTGGGGTTGGAGGGGAGAGGAAAGAGATATGGTAAGAGGCAGGAGAGTGGGGCAGAATGTGTCCCTAGGAGAGAGAATGAATGAGAGACAGCAGGAAAGCACTTGCTAAGCAGTGAGACGGAAAGTAGGCAAGCATGGGAGGAGAATATAGGTACATGTGGGGAAGGGCGCACCTGGGGGAGGGGCGCACTTGGGGGAGGGGCGCACCTGGGGGAAGGGCGCACTTGGGGGAGGGGCGCACCTGGGGGGAGGGCGCACCTGGGGAGAGGGCGCACCTGGGGAGAGGGCACACCTGGGGAGAGGGCGCACCTGGGGAGAGGGCGCACCTGGGGAGAGGGCGCACCTGGGGAGAGGGCGCACCTGGGGAGAGGGCGCACCTGGGGAGAGGGCGCACCTGGGGAGAGGGCGCACCTGGGGAGAGGGCGCACCTGGGGAGAGGGCGCACCTGGGGAGAGGGCGCACCTGGGGGAAGGGCGCACTTGGGGGAGGGGCGCACCTGGGGGGAGGGCGCACCTGGGGAGAGGGCGCACCTGGGGAGAGGGCGCACCTGGGGAGAGGGCGCACCTGGGGAGAGGGCGCACCTGGGGAGAGGGCGCACCTGGGGAGAGGGCGCACCTGGGGAGAGGGCGCACCTGGGGGAAGGGCGCACTTGGGGGAGGGGCGCACCTGGGGGGAGGGCGCACCTGGGGAGAGGGCGCACCTGGGAGAGGGCGCACCTGGGGAGAGGGCGCACCTGGGGAGAGGGCGCACCTGGGGAGAGGGCGCACCTGGGGAGAGGGCGCACCTGGGGAGAGGGCGCACCTGGGGAGAGGGCGCACCTGCAGTGTGAAGAGGCCTGCCTCCAAGCGAGCCAGATAGCGATCCTCATCTGTCATCTGCACGTGTGCGAGAGAAAGGGGGATTGAGAAAAAGAGAGCGGGAAAGGGAAATGAGGGGAGAAAATAAGGGGACAAGAGAGTTGGGGGCGGCACTGGAAGGGAGCGAACAAAGTGATGGGGAAGGAACGGGGGGATGGGGAAGGAGAAGTGATGGACGGAGGAAAGGAAGAAGGAATTTGAGAAGGAAGGACAAGACAAGATTTGGTTGAGATGCACTCCCCTCTCCCCTCCTCCCCTCTCCTTCCCTCCCAAAGAAACAGGAAGAAAGGGAGACAGACCTCCCCGTCGTCCTCCTCCTCCCCCTGCTGCCTCAGTATCTCCCGTCTTCTCTGCTGCTCCTCCTGCCTCCTCTCTTCTGCCCGCACCCGCTCCCAGTACCTGCCATGGCAGGGTGGGGAAGAGGGGGTGAGGTGGGTGAGGGAGGGGTGAATGGAGCTGCTGGCACTGCTGGCACTCACTTGCTCCCAGTCCCTTCCACAATACAACCCCACTCCGTCACTCCCTCACTCTCCCTCACTCCCTCTCCTCTCACTCACTTGATATGCAGCTCCAGCAGGTGGTCGATCTATTCATACTCTCCTTCCACGAAAAAAAATACATGTAATAGACTCTAACACAACACCTTCCTCGCCCTTTCTTCTTCTGTCCAGCTCTCCCTCCATGATACTCCAGCACTCCGCCACTCCTTCACTCCCTCACTCACTCCCTCACTCCCTCTCTCACTCCCTCGCTCCCTCGCTCCCTCTCTCCCTCACTCTCCTCTCACTCACTTCATATACAGCTCCAGCAGATGATCAATCTTCTCATACTCTCCTTCCACGAACTTGCTCAGCACTCGGTCCCGCCGTGACCCCTTGGACAGCCCCGCTGGTACACGTGGGTGCAAAGGGGTGGAGACAGTTCGAACGGGGTGTTGAGTCTTGGATTACAGTCTCTCCCTGAGCCCTTAAAACAGATGAAATGGCATATACAAATTAGCAAGGCAATGAGGGAGATGACACGTACAGAGCAGGGAGGCAAAGAGGGAGATGACACGTACAGAGCAGGGATGCAATGAGGGAGATGACTCGCTCGTCGATCTCCTGCTGCAGCTGCAGCGTCTCTGACTTGTCCTTGCGCTTCACTGTCACCTGCACATGGCACACGGCACACAGCACACAGCACACACGCCAATCGAATGATAACTCATTGGCCAGACGAAACCCAAAAGAACCCAACAATGGACGCTGCTCAGATGCCAAATGCTCACACTGCATAGTGGTACGCCGAGCACTTGAGGCCAATCACGGCTCACCTTCCCCCTGCTTCCCCTTCCCTCCCCCCTTCACCCCCTCACCCACTCACCTTATTCATGAACGCGGAGAAGAGCGTTTTCAGCCCCAGCACGTCCACGAACCGCTCTCAGGCAGCAGGGCAGCGCAGCGGAGGCGACTCACATCACACATGCATGCAGCAGGGGCCCACTCACCCGCTCAACCCCTCACCTTATTCATGAAAGCGGAGAACAGCGTCTTCAGCCCCAGCACATCCACAAACCGCTCGCACGCGGCGGGGCAGCGCGTGGTGGCGAAGTCAAGAGCCTTCATCGCGGAGGAGTACGCAAGCTTGCGCTGCTCCCCATTCCCTCCCCCACTCAGCCCCTCATTCCTTCACCTTCCCCCTGCTCCCCTTCACCCTCCCTCTACTTCCCCTTCCCTCACCCCCTCACCCCCTCATCCGCTCACCTTATTCATGAAAGCGGAGAACAGGGTTTTCAGCCCCAGCACATCCACAAACCGCTCGCTCGCGGCGGGGCAGCGCGTGGTGGCGAAGTCAAGAGCCTTCATGGCGGAGGAGTACGCGAGCTTGCGCTGCTTCATCGTGATAATCATCAGCTCTACTCCCTCCGATTTCACGAACCGCTCCTTATTCTCGTCCACCATCACCACGCTGCACAGCGCGTCGAAGATATTTTCCAGCATTTCCTCCTCCTCCGTCGTTTTCGGATCGCGCGATTTGTAGATCGCCGCGGCCTGCAGGAGCGAATCCACGCCGTTCATCGCGCCGACTCGTTTTTGGTTCGCGGAGCTGCCTTGGAGCAGGATCGCGAGGATCTCGCTCGCGTATAGCTTATTCGCGTCGAACTCTTTAACGCGTATTCGGGCCAGTAACCAGCGTAACAGTCGGGTCCGTTCGCAGACGGCTTCGGCGACGGATGGCAACGCCTCGATCATATTCTCGAAAATACCCAACGTCGTGAAAACGGCGTTACCTTCTTCGCTATCCTTTTCGTCCAATCGCTGAAGGTTCTGCACGAGAAGCTCTAGCCCGCTTGAATCTACAAGCGACTGCACCAATGCCTTCGCCTCCTCCTCGTGATCCCCTATCGCATCCGCATCTGTCAACTCTCCTAATAACGAAACCGCTCCTAACGAGATGTCTGTGTTCTCGTGCCCCAGGAGCGACAAAATCGACGGAACCGCATTCAACCGAACTAAATCCGGGTACAGGCTCGGTGCGCTCGCGACAGCGTGGAGCTTCTTGACCTCTCTGTCAAGCTCCACCTCGGATTCCATAAACTTCTCTGGTTGGTCCACGTGGCGGATGCGCGCGTCCATGTTCTCCTTGAGCCGCTTCTCGAAAGCCAGCACCGCCCGCCGCAATCCGCGGAGGTCCATTACCTCGATGGATAACCCACCTCCCGTTCCACCCTCCCCCGCCGCCGCCGCTGCTTCCCGTTCGAGCGCTTCGAGCAGCTCCATGTCGACCTCGTCATTATCACCCGGCGCCGCGGGAAGCACGGGACGGCGGAATTCGGAATCAGGCCCGCCTCTCTCCTCGTCGTCGAAATCGTCGCGCATTTTCGCCTTTCCTTTGCGGTCCGCTGCGGATGCTAGCTTTCTCGGTCCATCCGCGATAGAAGGCGCGCCGTTTTGCGCATTGGCGCCGGAATCCGCGACCGGCGGCGTGTCCCACGTTCGCTTGCGCTTAGGCGCTGCTGCCGCCATTTGGAGCTACCTTGCTGCTTGGAAGAGCCCGCAAGAAGGGCTAACCAGCAACGGCAAACGGAAGACCTATGCCACTGGAGTGGATTCGAAACCAGGAAACGGAAGGCAGTACAATGGTAGAGAAACTAAATGACCAAAACGTTACTAGGAGCTAAAGAGTTCCTGTCCAAACTAGGTACGCTAGTGAAGGTCGCAAGAATATTGGCTCCCTCTCTGGGAATAGACCAGCTCCTACCTGTGCTTCGCTATAGTGTGAGCAGGGGAGGTGGAGAGGATAACGCAGTGAAATCATACGCGCTAGCAAGTCACTTGAAGCATGCCGAGAGTTCATGCTTCCAATTGTTCTCCGCAGGCAATGATGGGGAGAGTACTAAAAATAATTTTCTCATCAGTTCTTTTTTCCCAGCAGATTCATCCAGCATTTGAGGGGGGGTGACAGATTTCAGTGTGAATATCCTGTACACTAAATTTGTTTTTCATCTTTGTCAGCCTGTCCTGGAGGGATGGCCTGGTCACTTAGGGAAAAGGTAGAAAAACAAGACGAATTTTAGTGTAACGCTATCATAATCCCTCATTACATGTACGGCACCAAGCAAAATTCTTTTGCATATCAATGCGCATTCTATGCATCCCAAACCAAGATGCTCTTCTCAGGAACTCCCGCCTCCTTCAGAACTTCCAACGCAGCTTGGTTGGACTGCTTGTCGCCAAACACCACAGCAGCTGTGAGCTCAGGATCGTACTCCAAGTCGTCCGCATCGAATGCGTCCATAAACGACCCCACCAGCCCGTCCCACTCCTCCCCGTTTGTCGCGTCCACCGTCGGCCTCACCTTCGCATTCAGCTTCTCCCATTGGGCAAAGTGGTCCTGCACAACATAAGATCGACGGGCAAGGAAAGGCTAGCATGATAAACGGTGGGTGCTGATGCTGTGCCAAGGCAATTTAGGAAATCAAGGCACTTTTGCATAGCCTTGTTTAGCACTCCTCCCCATACCCCCCTCCACTCTCTGTGTGCACTCTCATGCATATCACACCTGCCATTCCACACCCATTCCATCATCCCCTCCCTGCTGCTTCACCTCCCACTCACTCCTCCATTCTGCAACTGATAGAGGCTTTTCCAAGTCCACCTCAGGTTGACACCAACCCCTCGTAACTCACCTACAAGACAAGTCAAACCTTGAAATGCAAGAAGCACCGGCTCAGGAAACCACGAAGCTTTGTATCGTGTAAGCAACAGCTGAGGGCGAAGGTGCGGAGTAGAAGAGCCGCACTTCAAAGCGCATGTTGAGGAACAGCGAGCCCACATCCGAGGCCTCTACCAACGACCGCGCCGCCGCAATGCCGTTGCCTGACTTGAGTCGACTCAGAAGTCAGTTCGGAAATACCAAGCTCCGTACCTTGTAAGCCACGGCTGAGGGCGAGGGGGCGGAGTAGAAGAGGCGCACTTCAGAGCGCATGTTGAGGAACAGCGAACCCACGTCCGAGGCCTCTATGAGCGACCGCGCCGCCGCAATGCCGTTGCCCGCAGCGAAGATGAGCAGCGTGGGGAACCGCGAGAGGAACATGATTGGCCGCAGGTCCAGCCCGTTGGCCTGGAAGGCACCGACCTCCAACTCAGCTCCTGGGGGATAAAGGACAGAAGTGGAGAGGGGTGAGCAGCTGCTAGCATGGACAGAAGGCAATGAATTCTACTGGATTATACTGAGGAAGAAATTTGGCTGTCATGTGTCGGCTCTGTTAGGCTGGATTTAAACTGGCAAGGTAGACAACTTTATTCAGTTAACTCCTCCACGGGCATGCTCTGCTGTGATCTGCAGGTTACGAAGGGCGGAGGGGTGATGGGGCGTGCCATGCAGAATCACATGTCAATCTGTTTGATTTCAATTCTCCTCGCTCACCGGGCCGCAGCTCGCTCGCATAGTGGGTGGTCAGACTGAAATGTCAACTTGAACACTTCATATCCCTTGACAGTCTGAGACGTCTCTTCGTTTCCAGAGGAATGCAATGCTCACAGGGCCGACACTGCAATGCTCACCGGGCTGCAGGTTGTAGAGAGGGTGGTCGGGCGTGACGTGCAGCTCCAGCGGGTGCTTCACGGACAGCGCGTATTGCGGCGCCTTGGTGGCCCCGGCGGGGATGTCGCCGCGCAGCTTGTACAGCACGCGCCAGTTGCTCTCGCTGGGGAACGGCGGGCTCGACACGTACGTCGCCACCGGCTCTCCCTCCGCCACGCGCACCAGCACGGTCTGGCCGGGCTTCGTGTAGGCCTGGTCGATGGGAATGAACTGCAGGGGTGGCAGCAAGGGGACGGGAAACACGAGGGGGGTACAGTGGGAGTGAGGATCGAGAGGATGAGACGAGGAATTCTATGGTGGAACCAGGGAAGCAATGAGCATATGAAAAGGCAAGGCCGGTCTGGCTGCTCCATCGTATGTTCGCCTGGTGCGACCAGCATACGTCAGGAGCGACATGCCCGACGAGCTCAACGGCAACTATTCTCGAGAGCGCTCCGCTGCAATCATCTTGCTCGTGACGCGGGGATTCGTCCACCTGATGCGTGCGACAGAGTCGAGATTTCACGTATAGTGGCCACTACCTTGTCAGCCAAGGCTACCGGCTAAATTCTTTGGCACGCTAAACTTCCCGTAACGCCGATGTGGTTTAAGAGAAGGAACTGGAAGGCCATGAACTGTAGCTGATGCTTAAAAAGACCGGACAATTGCCGATGCTCCAAGATTTCGTTACTCACCCTGACACTGAATTTAGAGTCAGTGCTAGAAAAAAAAGAGAGAATTACAGTTTGCTGAAGAGAACACGCCTTTCAGAAAAAATGGTGTACCTCTCTCGAGATTTCCGCGTTGACCGTCACCACTCGCACATCAGGAGCGACGTCCTGAACGGCAACAACGGTCGCGACATTGAATTCCTTCTTCTCCGCAGCATCGACCTCGATCACAGAGTACGGCTTGGACGACTCCTCGGTCTCCTTCAACCGGAGCCGATCGTCCGCGCTGATCGTCTCCGCATTCGCCGTTGGTTGCACGGCGACGGAGGCCTTAGTTGCGAACTTCGATGCTCCCCTCCGCACGGCGGTCAGCGCGAGCTTCGTGCCGTGAGCGAACGAGTCGGTCTTGATGGAATCGGCCGGTCGCGAGGCTCGTTGTGTGGAGCGGGAGAAGAGCTGACAGCTCAGCCGGGAGCACTGGAGGGAAGTGGTCGCCATGGCGTGTGCAAGCTTCGGAAATGCGCGATCCGGCAACCAACGGAATGGCCTAGCGGATTAAAGGCGTACGCTTTGCTCCAAGAATGCTCCTTGAGCTAAGATGCTCAAGTATGGAGAATTAAAATTCCAGCTTCTGCGCTTACTTTTCTCTCTTGGCTCACAAGAGTTATGAGCACAATCGAAACCTACAAACTTGGAAGTAGTGGACTCCTGTACTGACGAAATGGATGCGAATGACGCTTAGCTGAGTACTGGACTCCACAGGCTGCCACCATCCCTCGGCACGGAGGGGGGAGCCAGGTGTGAGGGAGGGGGGAGGGGGGGTGGTTAGGGATCAGAAAGGAACAGGATGAGGCGCTCATGGGGAGCCAATCTCGAGGTGAGGCCAATCCCCAGGTGAGGCTGAATGCACTGGGGTTCCCAATTTCCGAAGTGATGGGGCGAGGCCAGGTGGCGAGATGTCGGGCGCCGCGTGGATTCCGCAACCCAAAATGGCTCAAAAGTGCTGCCATGTCACGCTAGACGACAATGGACTTTCGAGTGCCCTTCACAAGGATGGCCTGTCGGCTCGTCCCTGAACCTGGAATTCTGCATTATTGTTCACCTCCTTTTCGGTTTTTCATCGGTAAGCCTTGCTTATCGAAACATCCGCATATTTGTAACACTTGCATTAAGGAGGTGTCATTCTACTGTTTTGTTTCCCTAACGCACCAGCTTTCAACGCATAATTTCAGGCCCCATCGTCATTTCCCCGCGCAAATTCCCACCTTACCATGCCATGCTCCTAGCTCAAACGTTCAGCTTCAGGAGAGCCGTTTCATGGTTGAAACATAACAACTGCGTGCGCTAACCGCGTCTCCTCGCTGCCAGGGTTCATTACTTCTGTAAAAGATGGAAAAAGTCGGCGGTGATTCCCAGCACGCAGCCACGCAAGACGTCACGCGTTCAGGTCCACGCGAGGCTCTTTCCGGCCTGCTGCGTCACGCTCAGAAGCTCGTTGACAGGAAGCGAGTCTGCGGGACAGAGGGGCCTGTCATGCAGCAGCAGCAGCAGCAGCAGCAGCCGATTCGATGGCTGCAGACGCAGCTCCAGTCGTTTCAGCATCATCTGAATCAGATTCAGCAGAACTCGCATCGGATTGAGGGTGGTGAAGCCTACGCTAGTAGATCCGATCTGCGCGGCTATGAGGAACGCCAGAGCGTTCCTTTGAAGCTCCGTCAAGCCGCCGGAGGGTGGTTAAGGGACAGACAGAAGGACGTTGCCAGGCTCGTCGAGGGTTTCCCGGAGGAGGCCGGAAGGATTCTGGGAGGAGTAACTGGCGGAATTAATTCGATCGGCGACAATGTCGATGACTCTGGTAACAATGTCGCCGACGTGTCGTTGCTCCCCTTTCGCCACCAATTCGCCTCCATCACGGCGTCGTTTGCGGGGAGATTCGGCGACGCTGCTGCTGTGGATCCAGCGGATCAGCGACTGGTTTCGTTACTGTCACCATCCGCATCGGATCTCGCATCTACTGGCGGATCCACGTCTGCTCTTGGAGCGGAAGGTTACGGGTTCGAATCTCCCGCGAGGCACATTTTCGACATTGCCATGTCGGCGGATCAAGTAGCGAAGCGGCTAGATGGTGTACCCGTGTACACTGTGACTAACACTGCAAGCGAGTTCGTGCTTATATCGGATATGGGAGGGAACAAGTCGCTCGGGCTGTTCTGTTTCAGGAGAAAAGATGCTGAGATGCTGCTGGCACAGGTATTGCCGACCTGCTGCTGGCGCAGATGATTCCTCTCTTGGCCTATCTCCTCCATGTGTCCTTCCCTTGCTTCTCCTTCTCTTCCGTATCAATGTGTCCCTCCCCCACTCTCTTTATCTTCCTCGTTTTTTCGTTCTCTCCCCCCCCTCTGACGGTGTGTAGGTGAAGGATCGCGAGCCGTCACTTGGGCGAGGAGCGAAGGTGGTGCCAGTGTCACTGGACAAGGTGGGTGTCCCTTGATTTGAGATGGTGAGCGTGCATTGATAGGAGTTTTAGCAGAGAAAGTGAGGTTGGTTGTGGGGGCGGTAATGGTGCCTGTGTCATGTCACGTCCAGGTGAGCGCGTTACAGTGATGACCCTTGGTTTGAGAAGGTGCAGCATCATCGTGTCAATGAGCATAGCCTATGCGCGTTACAGTGATGACCCTTGGTTCGAGTCCTCTTTTTCATCCTCTTCATTTCATATCATTTCTTTTGCCCAAATGCCCTCAAGCCCTTGCCTGACACCTCTTGGTGCCAATTGCTGCATCTCATTGATCTTCTGCTGAGCCCTCCTCTCTCTGCGCTGGCTGTTCTGCTTCATGTGTGCTCTTGCCACGCTCCCATCAGGTGTACCAACTGTCAGCTGAGGGGATTGCGTTCCGCTTCCTGCCTGACCCCACTCAAGTCAAGCACGCCCTTCAGGTGAAGCTCTTTCACTCTCTCTGGCCTGCCGCCTTCTGCTGCCTTGTTATTTTCACCCTTTTCTGTCCTATTTTAGAAATTTGGTGTTTCCATTGCTTCTTTTTCCCCTGTCATTTGCAGGTCTTGTCGGCATCTGGAGACACAGCACGGGCATTTGATGGGGTTCCTGTCTTTCAGGTGCTCACTCACCTCTGCTGTTCACTATGCCGGTCTTCTTTGTGTCCTGCAATGGATCTGGTCTGTGATACCATCATGCCCAACTCACCCTCACTCTCACCTCCTCTGTACTCATGCACACTTTCACGTTGTCTGTTTGGCGGCTTTGCAGTCGGAGAATCTTATCCTTCGCAGCAAGAACAGGCGCTTTTGCCCCGTCTTTTTCAACAAGGTATGCATCCTAGTCATTACTACGGGTCTTGTATAAACGCTAATGCATGACTCACCTCCAGGCATGATGCTGCTTCTGTTTCTACTCTGATCATTACCTGGAATTTTTACCTCCACTTCACCTCTTCTCCTTTTGTCATCCTTCTCTTATTCCTCGCTCCTCCCTCGCACCCTACTCCATACTTTCCCCTTCGTGTGTCCCTTTCATCCCCTCCCCCATCACCATTGTGGTCGGTCCTTCCACAGGAGGATCTGGATGCTGCGCTGAAGAAGGCAATAAAGCAGAAGCAGGCAGTGAACCCCAACATGCGAGTCACCAACAACATCCAGGTGTGATGCCGGGGAGGGAGGGACTGACTGGAAGGTGCACATGTGGGTTGCAAGTTAAAGCACTGTTACATTGCGTATGTGGAGTGTTCTTATCCTCGTGTACGGTAGGAGTGTAGCCATATTTGTTGAGCCTTGGACAGTGTGACAATACAGAGGTGCACTATGGAGTGTGGCTGGCCCACATTTTTCTCTCCTCGTGTGCCTTTTCTCGTTTGTTTTCTTCTTACCCAGGTTGGCAGTTTTGAAGAAGTGCTTAAAATGCTTGAGGTGAGCTTTTTGAGGCTACATTTCATGCATGTTATTGAAGGGACCAAAACGATCGCCCTTTAGTAACCATTACCCCCTCTGCCATTCCATCCAGCCTAAATTGCTGTCTTTCCTCCCACTCCCCTTGCAGCGGAACGACGAGGACTCGTTGTGGGGGGACCTGCTCTTTATCCCACCGGGCATGGATGCAGAGGGGTTACTAGGCAAGGCAGTGGCAGCATCACCGCCACAACCTCCTGTCCTCTGCTAGATTCAAGGCTTTTCAGCTTTCTGCCTGCAGGCACATTACTGTACTGAGTGACCAATTTCGTGAAATAAACTCTGGTTGGTTTGTTGGGAGATTTCAGATTTCACAGGTCCAATATACAAACTCAAATCATTGCAAGGCTCAAGCAATCAAACAAGAGAAAGCAACTACACCTTACAGCAGCTCCCCTATTGTGCCCCAGCTCTTCTACCGGTAATAGGTATATACCTAACCCTTAGCACAAGGGGAAATCTGCAGAGGCTTGCAAGAAGAACCTATCAGCACTAAAGAGAGTGCTTTGAGCTCCAGCACCACATCACACCCTATTGAACCGTTGCAAACGATATTTGTAATGCTTTACAGCTTATTTCGGTACTGCTGGGTACACCAGCACACTTAGGACTTTGCGAGGGGCGAATCGGGGTATGCGAGCTTCTTCATGTGCTTCTCGCGCGGATACCGCAGATTGGTGGCCAATCCAACGGCTTCCAGCAGCTTGAGGGTGTACCACGTCATATCGATCTGCCACCACTCCAGACCGTGGCGCGCCGAGTACTCGAACGCGTGGTGATTGTTGTGCCAGCCCTCGCCAAATGCCAAAATGCCCACCCACCTGGAAATGGCGTTGGAAATAATCGGAGTTATGGAAGGAAACAGCAATTTTATTATAAGCTTATTTGTTCACAACCTTTGAAATTGTTGGCCTCATTTGTGGCAGATGAAATGGGGAGAAGAGGTGGAACAAAGGTGAAGGCCTAATGTGCTGCGAGTGAAAAAAAGTGGGAATATGGATGAGCAGTGAGGATGGGGGAGGATGAGCGGCGACATACCAGTTGTTGCGGGAGAGGTCGCCCGTGTTCCACGGCTGGTCACCCCACACGTGCGACGCGGAGTTCACGAACCACGTGATGTGGTACACCCACACTAGGCGCAGAGCCTGCACGCATATTGAAAAGAAGACGTTTTAACATCATTCCGTATATATTAAGCGGTTAGAAAGACGACGTTGTATCGACGACTTTCGCGAGCCCCCGAAGGAGAAGTGAACGAATGCTGAGTCACTGAGGCGCTGCTGGTTGACGACGACTTACCCAGCCCCAGACGACGAACGGGAAGCCACCGAGCGCGTAGAGCGCGGCGACGGACGCGACGATGTGCCAGACGTAGGTCTTGTCGATGAACTGGTAGAACGGGTCCTTAGTGAGATCGTAGATGTTGTTCTTCCCCTCCAGCTGCAGGGTTACCACGCACGATAAATCAGTAACCGCGTTACGAATCTGGACATTGTTTTCATTGAACGGGGGTAATAACATGGAAAAAATAGACGTACCCTGTCGTTGAGTGCCTCGTTATCGAGCAGCCAGCCGGCGTGGCTGTACCAGAACCCCTCATAAGGCGTATGAACGTCCTCGGGTTTGTCGCACCAGCGGTGGTGCACGCGGTGAGCGCTCACCCACTCGAACGGAGGGCCCTGGCAGGCGAGGACGCCGCAGTAGGCGAAGGTGTACTCGAGCCACTTGGGCAGCACGAAGCTGTGGTGAGTCAAATGGCGATGGAACGACAGCGTGATGCCGAACATGCCTGCAGCACACGGTGAACACAGGATCTCATAAGATCGAATCACGAGGCTGCAATATCCCGCTAAAACCGTGGAATAAATTACACGGCACGAGCTAGCATTAGGGTGAGCGATCATGGAGTCAAGGGTGCACAGGACGAATTTGCTGTGGACATTAAGCGGGAATTGTGGACCAGCGAAAAGAGGTTCGGACAGTTCTGGGAGCTCCATGGCACGACGTCAGCACGCACCTGTGATGACGTACATGGCGACGAAGCACTCGAACGCCTCCCACGAGAAGGTGAAGGGCGCGGCGAGGGCGAGCAGGTGGATGCTGCCGAGAAACGCGGCGTATCCGATATCCTTGGGCAGCCACTCGCGGTTGAAGAAATAGGGGCGCTTCTTAACGGTCACCACGTCAGACAGCCACACCTTGTGCGGCACGCCCACATCATCCATTTCCTCGAGTTTCTCCAGGATCGTCTTGGGCGGCTCGTGCGGCGTGGTGAGGATGTCCTCTTGTTCGATCTCGATCACGGCGGAGATTCTCGCGGGTTTCCGCGCGCGGAGTTGGGGGAGGCGCGCGGGGAGGCGGAGGGTGGACCCTGCGAAGTGCGATTGCAGGCGCTGACGAGGAGTCGCGGTCGATTTCGCGCATCCGACGGTTACCGGCACTGAGGCCGCGTGCGAAAGGAGAGCTGTCGCCATATTGTTTTCGCGCAGGGGCCAATCAAAAGGGCCTTTTCAATAATAACTAGGAATGAGCACGAGTATCACAAGCTGTGGTCGCTGAGCTGATAAACAAGCGAGCCAATCGAGTCTCGATTGAACGAATTGATCGCGAGAACCGCAATTGACAGACAGATGAAGCGACCTCTTCGTCGCTTGCTCGAAAGATAGATTATGCTTGCGCTGTGCTTGCTTGTATATAAGCGTTCTCGGGCACGAGAGGTGAGCTGATGATGGTGATGGTGATGGTCGATCGGCAGAAAAGGAAGGGTGGGCAGAAAGCGGGGCGGGATTGCGTTCGATTGCCGAATTGTGTGTTGGCGGATCCCCACTGCAATGCTGGCATGGGGAACATAGCTTTCTGCCATGCACACACTGGGAACGAAGGCGGTTGCGTGTGCTGCTGTTGGCAGTGGGGGGGGGGACCGAAGGCTCCAAGGACGTCGCGCTGTCTTGTTGTTGCCTGAGAATCGAGGCGCAGTCGTGGGGCGCAAAGATGAGGCGCAAAGGTCAGGCGGAACGATGAGGCGCGAAGGTGAAGAACAGAGGAGGCAAAGGTGAGGGTGCAAAGGTGAGGCGTGCGGGAGGCGCAAATTGAGGCGCATTGCAGCAACCCAAGAAACTGCATCTGCGCATTGCTGGGCCCTCCCGCACGCTCAAACCAGATGTCGCCGAACCGCGTCGAAGTCCCCGCAGCGCTTGTGGATAAAAGTCGGAAATAAATGTTCAATCTGCTTGGCGAAATCACCCCTGTTACATCTAGTTCAGGGAATTCGCAAATCCGCAGCTGCCAGGTCGGAACGGATGGTCCATCGGGCTTGGCGGTATTTTCAGTGGTTCCCACGAGTGAGCTTCACTGCGCTGTCACGTCATCTCCATCTGCCTGGACAGAATGGCGCGACCGCTGCTCCGCTGGCATGGTGGTGTTCCACGATAAAAGGGCATCTCTGTGTGCTGGCAACGCGGTCCGGGATGGGCTTCTTGGGAGGATTGGTTGGCTTTCAACTGAGTCAGCCCTTTCTGATCTGAAGATAATTATGTACAACCAATCAAAACAATGAGTCGATAATAGATTCCCCATTACGAGAGTTGTGCATGCTGTAAAACTGGCGTACAACATTCAGTACTGCACGAAGCCTTTGGAAACTATTCAACTCAAAGAGTGTGAAGCTGGAGACAGCTTCCCTTTCTACCATGCTTGTAACCAGATGCTTTTGTGAGGTGAGCTTGGAGGAACAGATGCAGGTGCCGCCTGCAAGCATACTTCACTCACTCTGTCCATCAAAATATATCCACATACAACGCAAGAGAGAAACACCCTTGCGACAAACCCAAAGAACACTACATTATGTACAGTGTAAGCGGCGGCAGACCAAAACGGGCATGCGCCTATTGCATCAAAGGCCTTTCCCTCAATAATAAGTTGTAATTGTGCGATGATGACACAATGGCGAAGCATTTTCTATTCCCTGCGACCACAACAACCAGTCTAACTCTATGCTTAGAACCTGTCAAGCACAAACGGAACGCAAAACAAGAAAGTAATTGTAACTCGCGAGAAGGGGAATTGACGGCATAGTGAAAACAGTCCAGTTCTAGCCTTCATACAATCCAGATACTTCTTAAGACTACCTTGTAGTGTCATCTCACCTGCTTCCCCACTGTACGCTCCAATCGCTCTCGAAGCCGCTCGGTGGCAACGATGCAGCACGCTCTAATCTCCACCTCTTCTTCCGAACCTATCACGGGAACAAGGAACCATGAAGAGCAGGTTGGTGAAAATTGAGACGTCCTTTTTAGGCACCCTCTTGCCTCTCCACCCCATACATTTCTCACGGGTGAACAGAGGATAAAGCATGGAGCACAGACCAGTGCATTCTGTACGTTTACCAGACAACTTACCTGGAAGAATCTCTTGTTTGCCGTCCACAGCAGCAGCAAGGCCCGGGGCGTATCTGAGCACGCCTCTGCTTCTCAGCACGGCGGGGACCACGTAGTCGGCAAACATGGTGAGACGGTGGCTGTCCGAGAAGCGACCCAGCCCGCGCCCATTGAACGCGCCCCACACGTCTGCCACGAAGATCTGCGCCCTCTTAAAGAGCGCCACCTGGCGGCCACGGTAGATTGCATGGTCCTGAAAATCTGGGAGAAGCAGGGGGGGGGGGGGGGGAGAGGAGGAGGGTGAGGGGAAGGGGGAGAGGGTGAAAGGGCAGGGAGGAGATGGCGGACAGCAGACATGTGCAGCAGAGAAAATAAAAGGAGAAGCATACTGTATTTTGAACAGTTTTTGGTGAGCATGCAATGCCATTGACGAAAAGCTTCATCAGCACCAGAACGTGTGTGGTGCGCCTCCTCAGCACTCACAGGGGAAGTGTGTAGTGAGCAGGCGCACTAGCATCTCAGCACTCCCGCCTGCCTCCTCCACCATACTCGCTGCACTGCCACTGAAGCGCCGCAGCAGCACCTGCCCCACCTGCCGTGCTGCCTGCACCCGCTGCTGCTCCAGAGGAAAGGGCTTCGGGCCGAGCAGAGCACGCAGGCCAGCGACTGGAAATAGGCGTGGGGGGTGGGTTGAAAGGGGTTTAAGGGGAAGGTTTTGGATCGAGGAAGCTGCTGCTGTTCCAATGGGAGATGGGGTGGGGGAGGCAGGGGGTCCCAGACGCACTGCGGAAATTTGACGGGCTTTGTAAGAACAAGGGTAAACAGAAGAGGCTGAAGGGAATGTGTACTAGGGACACGCACGAGGGGAGGGAGAGAAAGTGTCAAACTTGCACGTCGACCTGATTCCATCAGCCGAAAAACCCCATCAATCAAGCAAACAGCAGATTCTCATCGCGGATCAGAGAGTGAGAGAATTCTGTTGCACGCACCATCAAGCGCTGCGATGCGGGCAGCATCAATGCTGGTGGGATCGCGGTGCACTGCTGCTCTTAGGCCGGACGCCAGGTGCTCGTAGTGCAGTGAGGGGTCTGTTGGAGGGTGGGCGTGACGAGGATGAAGGGGATGAAGGGCAAGGAGTGGATGAAATGGATAGGGGAAAGCGAGGGGATGATTGAGAAGGAATGAAGGAGGATAACGTGAATTGGGTATGCCTGGTCTCCTGAGGCTCTAGGGGGGATGAGAAAGAGATGGTAGGCATGGGTCTGGTGAGGCTACTTGAGAGAGCGGTCAGCACAGAGTCTTACCATGGGTGGTTGAAGGGCACACCTTGGGCACACCTTGGTCACACCTTGGTCACACCTTGGTCACACCTTGGTCACGCCTTGGTCACACCTTGGGCACACCTTGGTCACACCTTGGTCACACCTTGGTCACACCTTGGTCACACCTTGGTCACACCTTGGTCACACCTTGGTCACACCTTGGTCACACCTTGGTCACACCTTGGTCACACCTTGGTCACACCTTGGGCACACCTTGGTCACACCTTGGGCACACCTTGGGCACACCTTGGGCACACCTTGGGCACACCTTGGTCACACCTTGGTCACACCTTGGTCACACCTTGGTCACACCTTGGGCACACCTTGGTCACGCCTTGGTCACGCCTTGGTCACACCTTGGTCACACCTTGGTCACACCTTGGTCACACCTTGGTCACACCTTGATCACACCTTGGTCACACCTTGGTCACGCCTTGGTCACACCTTGGTCACGCCTTGGTCACACCTTGGTCACACCTTGGGCACACCTTGGTCACACCTTGGGCACACCTTGGGCACACCTTGGTCACACCTTGGTCACACCTTGGTCACACCTTGGTCACACCTTGGTCACACCTTGGTCACACCTTGGTCACACCTTGGTCACACCTTGGTCACACCTTGGGCACACCTTGGTCACACCTTGGGCACACCTTGGGCACACCTTGGGCACACCTTGGGCACACCATGTTGCACCACATGTTACCACATGTCACTACATACCATGTTACAATGTTACGATGTTACCAGGTTACCATGTTACCAGGCCAGAAGCAGAAGTTGAGGGCGTCGAGCAGCAGCAGGTACTGTACGGTGAGAGGACCCCCGTCCGTGAAATGCACTCCGTCGAAATTCCACGGCGGTAACATCAAGCCGTGACCTCCTGACGTGCTGATTCCAGCACCGGCGGCTTTAGCGTCGGTTGTAGCATCAAGTGCTGTTTCAGGATTGGATGCAGCTTTGGCTGTCGTGCCACCGGTTGGTTGAGTGCGATCTGACGCGCACAGCGCATCTGCAAGCGCCTCAATCGCTGGTGGGATTCAGAATGGATGTGACCAGAAAATGTTGCAGAAATTTTGCAAAAATTAGCTAATGTTATCACAATCAGGTGCAGTGCAGGTACGGGGAGTTCACAAAGTTAGTTCGGCTCGGTGGAGTTTAAGACAGACGGAGCCATGACAGAGTTATCATCTACGGAATTAGGATCGACGAAGTTTAGACATACTAGCGAATTCCTAAAGGGTCAGACTACGACGATTCGGCCTCTTATTGATTTTGAATATAAGCACCAGGTCAGCAACACCCCTGCAGGTGACAGATCGCTTATATTTGTGATCAATGAACCGTCATTTAAGTCGCGTTGAAAAGTCGCGTCGTCTATATTAGCGTCAATTATGCTCGACTCTTGAAGTCACGTCGACTCTTTCGTCACTATAGTCTAGTCCATCTGAACTACCTTGGTCGATTCTAGTATCAGTATGGTATCCGTGAGCTACCTTGGTCGTCGATGGTGCAGTGTGTCGACTGCGACGCGACCCACTCGCACCCCTCGCGTAGGTCACGCAAGCAGTCCTCTTCAACCGCGTCCATCGGCAGCTGCTGCCTCAGACGGAAAGTTTTCGTGCGATTATCACTTACTAGCAATTGTAGTAACAATCACAAGCTTACATAGAGTGCTCGTATAACAATCAGACTTCCCAGTTTCTTTGCTGATGAATTCAGCATTCGCTGGCAGACAAGGAGGAAGTGAAGGTGGGGACCCAGACCTGTGATAAATGATTGCAAAGTGGTTCTGAGCTTTCCAAAGCTTTTTGGAATCGGTGTGGCATGTTGCAGCTGAAGAAGATGAGCAGGTCCGAAATTCCGAATCCTTGCGTCGCCGCCAAATCCTGACACTCCTGCCTTGGGGTTCGCGCCGAACGCTATCCGCGTTATTAGCTTCGAATTTGGGCTCCTCAAACGAACGAGAATTCCCTTTCGCTACCACCAACTTTGTAACGGTACAACGGAAAGCAAACATGTCACAACACAACATGCACTACAGCAATGGACTACAGACATCTTGCCATGACTAAATTGTTGCCTTGGATAGGACGCCATTGAAGCCTCATATCACATAAGTATTGCAAGAAACGTAGCAAGCAAGCAACTCAGGGAGCTGCAGCCAGAGTGGCACACCCTATGTGCCATCTGCATGCAACAAATAAAGCTTCTACAGAAAGCGCGCGAGCATAATAGCCTTACCATGTCCTTCATTCTGTTCGTTAAAATAGCACATACGGTAACTCATGCACGATATGCCAAATGTCTTCCACATGCTCCAGCACAGGGACAACAAAAAGACTCCACACCTGGCACCTACTGCGCGCCTCGCTCCTGCTTGCTCCACACCAGAGCTTCACCAAACACAGGCAGCGCTGCTGTGCTTGCTGCTGCGATCAGTACTCCTGCTGTGAGTGCTTCTGCAACCACTGCACCTGCCATGGTTCCCACACCAATCAAGCCTGCATCATTGCCCTCCCACCAGGGCACCCTCTCCCCCACCTCCCACCACAGCCGCTCCTGCTTGCTGCCCATCCATCCCTGCACCACCTACGCCTACAGGACCACCTACACCTGTGGGCGCAGGTGCAATTGGTGCAGGCGGGACGAGCGACTCGGGCTTTAAGTGCGGCAGCATCGCGTGCACCGCGCGCCACGTGGCGGTCCACAGGCTCTCCGTGTCTGACGCGTCAGTCACCTGCAGCACGCCCTGAGTCAGCATCACCATCAACATATTCTTAAGCACCTCACCCACACTCTCCCTCAATGACTCTCCCCCTCCTCTCCCCTCCCCACCTCCCCCTCCTCTCCTCCCTCCGCCACCCCCCCCCCCACCAGCCCTCATATATCGGTCCATCCGAAGCAGCACGCCGAGCCACAAGGCTCGGAACCCCGGGCCTGGCAGTGAGGCAAGGCTTGCAAGAAAATGCAGAAAAACCTTGGACAGCATCTTGACAGCACGGAGCAACGACGCGTCCATACCCCGGTATTCCTTGGGTTTCTCCCGCAAATGCACCTCTAAAAGATCGTCCAGAAGGACAAACACGACCTGATCGAAGCACGGGGCCCACATGGTGGTCGGCATGCGGAGGGGGTCGGCAGCTAGGAGACACCGCTGCAGCCACACGAGGGCATGGTTCCGCACGTCTTCTCGTTGGTCTGAGCAGACTCGACGCAAAGCATGCAGCAGGCGCAGCCAGAGGTCTGCCAGGTCCTGCCCTGAGAACCGCCCTGCTCCAGATGCACCTCCCCCAGATGATGATGAGGGTATGGGGCTTTGCTGCGAGGGAGAGAGGGCGGCTGACAAGGGAGGTTGTTGCTGTGGGGAGAACGCCCCGGAAACAGCACTACTCGAACTGTCCGCCTCAATCCTACCACCTCCTGCCATTGCTGCTGCTGTTGCTAGTCGGTCCGCCTCGGCTGCTTGCTCCATCTCCCCGGCCGCTCTCCACTCCAGCAGACAGTCTATCAAACACCCCAGCAGGTCCAGCGCCCGCTTCGACCGCTCCGAACCTCCCACCCGAGCCTCGGCAAAGTCCCGAGCCGCATCGAGGAACGGGATGAAGTTACACGGGGACACACAGGGCAGCCCATCGGTACAGACCTCCCCATAGTCCTCGACAGCACCAGCAGAGTAATCAGATGCGAGAGCAGCAGGAGAAGCACCGGGAGCAGCAGCACCGGGCGGAATGGGCGCCATGAGCCAGGACAGAGCTTCGAACCCGGGAGCAGCAGCATCCGGATGCCTGGCTGTGATGGCCAGCAGAGCAGCAAGCGTTCTCCAGCCAGGAGGAGACTTAACTCTCCGCAGTGCCCCGCTCTGCCGCCCCTCCCTCACAATCCCCAACACACCCCGCGTGATCCTCTCACAGAGGGCATCAGCTAGCCTGGCATCGAGTCTCAGCACGTGCTGCAGGGACCTTAGAAGCTCGTCTGCTAGGGTTTCATCGGCTGCGGGTAGGAGCTTTCGGCACAGCCGGAGGAGACCGAAGACTGCCCGTTCCACTAGTGGGCCAGGTGGCGGGCCGGCATTGGCTGACTGCATGATGATCGCGAGCTGGGAGGAGAGAAGTGGCCAGATGAGCAGCACCCGGGAGCGGTTACGTAGGGTTACCACGAGGAGCAGATCGAGACAAAAGACTGCTGTGTCTTCTTCGTCAGGTGATAATGGCCCCACGGCTATCCCTCCTCCACTCCCCACTCCCCCCACAGACGCCCCACCCGCACCTCCCCCTCCCCCACCTCCTCCTCCTCCAGCCACTCCCGATCCTGCTCCCCCTCCGCCTCCTCTTCCCCCCATCCCACCCCCACCAGCCCCCACCCCCGCGCCCCCAGCACTCCCCCCACCAGTCCCCCCTGGCCCCATCCCGAGCGCGCCCCTAAACGCCCGCCCAGCAGCCCACACAATGGCCCTCACAAGGTGCATCAGTGCTTCTGCTTCCAGCCCCTCAGCAGTCCCCCGGAACAGCTCCTCTATTCGGCATGCCCCCACCGCCTCCTCCGTGCGCTGCCGCGCCGCCACCTGGCGCTCCGTGGGCTGCGCTGAGCTGGCGCCGCCGTACGAGTAGTCATCGTCTGAATCAAGCAGAAGCAGCTGGGAGAACCGCATCATGAGCCCTCCCCCGCCGCCGCCGCTGCTGCCGGCTCCTTTCTTGCGAGCGGCTGCTGCTGCCGGGCTGGTGATGGCAAGGGTTGATGTGGCAGCAGTGGTGGTAGATGATATAGTGGAAGAGGAAGGGGTGGGACTCGTTCCCATCTGCTGCTGCTGCGGCTGCTGCTGTGACTGTTGCGACTGCTGATGTGGTTGTGGGGAGGCGTATAATCCCCCTGCAAATGCCCCATCCTCTGTATCCTCCACCTCGCTAATAACACGAGCAGGCAGCAACCCTAGCTTGTGCAACCGAACCACACAATCGAGCAGATTCCGCCAGCCTCCCCGAACCACCCCGCCGTGCCTGTTTGCCAAACCAAAGACAGTCACGGCGGCCAGCCGAGCCTTGGTGTCCTCCCCAAACGCCACCGCTGCTGCGTTGTCCACTAGATCTGCGCCACTTGGCAGCGATCCAGAGGGGTTCAGGCGGAGCGTGGTGCAGCGGCAGAGGGAGACCACCAGATCGTCTAACGCTCCTGAGAACCCGTGAAAAGCCGCCACGTCAGCGGCGGCTGAGAACCCGTCAGTGCAGCAGCGGAGGAGCGATTCGTCGTCTTCTGTGTGGTCGAAGACAACGGATATGGCTGCTATGGCTGGCCCTGCCACGACTGCAAACACGTCTCTGTCCAGTTGGAGTAGGAAGAGGGAGGAGGAGGAGCGCGGGAGGGAGAGGTTGGAGAGAGGCGGGGAGAGTGGGGAGAGGTGCTTGGACGGTGGGGAGGGGCGAGGAGGGGAGGAGGACTGAAGGAGAGGCGGAGCAGGAGGGAGGGATTCTGAATTGAGGAAAGCGGGAGCAGCAGAGTCGAGAGACTGAGAGGGTGAGGCGTTGCATGCAGCATTGTCAGTGCCCGGAGCCGCAGCAGCAACACTGGCACCGATACCACTACTACCATCACCAGCAGCAGCAGCAAAAGCTGCAACATCATCTGCAGAAGCCGATTCTGGGTCAGCACTGGATGCGAGAATGTACGGCACGGCGGTCGGCGACCGTCGGATCAGCCCGAGCCAGCGGCTGAGATTCATCTCAGGGAAGGCGGAGGCGGAGGAGGAGGAGAGGGAGACATCGGAGGACATCTTAATCTCGTTGCGGGCGATGGCATGGTAGAGCTCTGAGAGCAGCTCTCTTGGGAGGTCCTTGCCGTCGTTGATCTTCCTGTTGTTGCGGATAAACTCCTCCTCCGTCATCTTGCGCCGCACCTGGTGGAGGGAGGGGGGGGAGAAAGCGGGGGTGGGGGGAGCGGGGGCGGGAAGGGGGGACAGGAGTGGGAACGGGGACAGGGGGAAGGAGGAGGGAGAGCAGAAAGAGGGGAGGAGGAGAGGGAGACATCGGAGGACATCTTAATCTCGTTGCGGGCGATGGCATGGTAGAGCTCTGAGAGCAGCTCTCTTGGGAGGTCCTTGCCATCGTTGATCTTCCTGTTGTTGCGGATAAACTCCTCCTCCGTCATCTTGCGCCGCACCTGGGGGGAAAGGGGGGGGGGGGGGGTGGGTGGGTGGTTGATTGAGGAGACAGGAGAGGAAGGGCGAAGAGGGTTGAGGAGGAGGGGAAAAAAGTCATTCATAGCGCACAGACAGAGCCAGATGATATATGCATCATGAGCTCATGCACCTGCCCATTATAAAGGGTCAGTGGTGAGCATGAGGAAAGAGAACGACAGCACATACACTCATGAAGGAACCACTCATACTCTTAGAAAAAACGACATACACGCAACGAGCCACGCACCTGTTCGTTATACTCTCAGCACACACTCACTTCATGCCACGACTCACAACAACTCATTCCAGTCAACGGATAAGCCACCCACGCACCTGTCCGTTATACTCTCAGCACACACTCACTTCATGCCACGACTCACAACAACTCATTCCAGTCAACGGATAAGCCACCCACGCACCTGTCCGTTATACTCTCAGCACACACTCACTTCATGCCACGACTCAACACTGACATAAGGGTCAGTGGTGAGCATGAGGAAAGAGTACGACAGCACATTGTAATGAAGGGTGTACTGTACTCATACTCTCAGCACACACTCACTTCATGCCACAACTCACAACAACTCATTCCAGTCAACGGATAAGCCACCCACGCACCTGTCCGTTATAGAGGTCAGTGTTGAGCATGATGACAGACAGAGTAGGACAGCACATACTCATAACGGGAGGGACATCTCAGACTCCCAGCAGCACGCACTGATGATGCTATGAGTCACAGCAATGCACCCACGCACCTGACCATTGTACAGGTCGGTGTTGAGCACGATGACAGAGTACGACAGCACATACGCCACGTCATGGTTTGCAAGCCCATACGCCGCGGGCGCCAGCTCATAGTACCGCTCTGCAAACTCCTCCAGCACCCTTTTGAGGCAATGAGGTGCCTCAAAGAAAGAGATCTTCTGGGACAGCACATGCTCATACTCTCATCACGCACTCATTAAGGGGCATTACGAGCGACAACAACTCATACCAGCTGGTAAGCCACCCACGCACCTGGCCATTATAGGTCAGTGTTGAGCATGATGACAGAATATGACAGCAGCACACACACTCATGAAGGAACCTCTCATACTCTCAGCACACACACAGCCACCCACGCACCTGGCCATTGTAGAGGTCGGTGTTGAGCATGATGACAGAGTACGACAGCACATACGCCACGTCATGGTTGGCAAACCCATACGCCGCGGGCGCCAGCTCATAGTACCGCTCTGCAAACGCCTCCAGCACTCTTGATATCTTCTGCGCCTCCCCAGGCAGCCGGAACCCTTCTAGAAACGTTCTCAGCGCCGCATCCAGCGCCATGCCCTCGAAATCAAACAGCTTAGCGAATTCCCCTAAAACGCGGACGTGGAACTCCTCATGCCCGCCCAGCAGGTCCCCCACTAGTGTTTTGTTAAGTCCCGGTGTGAAGCGCAGGAAGCAGGCGACGGCCCGGGCGTCGGGGAGCGAGGGGAGGAGAGCGGAGGCTTGGAGGAATTGCAGGCCCTTCTTGGAGTCGCGATTGAAATGCTCCACGCCTATGAGCAGCCGCCGCTTGACAGACCTTTGCTGCCTCACTACTTCCACTAGTAACAGCTGCTGCTGCTGGTTGTGCTGCTGCTGGTGCTGCTGGTGGTGGTGCTGCTGATGGTGGTGGTGCTGCTGATGATGCTCATTCTGTGGCTGTCCCTGGAACCCGTCTACAGATGCTGATACGCCAACCTGCTTGCCTGCTGCTGCCGCCTCGCCTGTTCCACCAGCAGCTGCTGCAGCCAGAGCAGCGGCAACCATCTCCCGAGCCTGCGTCCACATGGCTCCGTTCTCCGAAGCTATCTTCAGCTCCGGCGCCGCTGGCACGGCCGAACCCGGCAGCAGCAACGGGGCTGGTGCCCCAACGACAGCACCATCCCCAGCACCCACAACACCACCACCAGCAACACCGGCAGCAGCAGCAGCATTAGCCCTGCCAGCCATATGATGCACCACAGCCAGCAACCCCTGCATAGCCAGCACATGCAACGATGATAGCGGTGTGTTTACCGGAAAGGCTGCCCGAGAAAGCAGCCCTGAGAGCTCCTCCAGGCAATTCGCACATGTCAGATCGGCATCAAAGTTGGCGAAGGTTTCCACGGCGAATTCGGGCAGCCGGCAGAAGTCGAGGAGGGCTTCCAGGGCAGCTTCCTGCTGCGCGAAGGAAGTTGCGGTGAACTTTCCTGCGGTGCCGACGAGGCGGGCGATGACGCAGGTGTAGAAGGCCTCTAGCTGCAGCTTCAGGTGCGCTCGGGCCGAGTGGAAGAGCGTTTGCACTATGGCCAGCACCTGGGGGTGTGGGAGTGCGGTGGGGTGGGGGGCACGATGGTGGGACGCATGAAGGGCTGCACAGGTGTAGAAGGCCTCCAGCTGCAGCTTCAGGTGCGCGCGGGCTGAATGGAATAGTGTCTGCACTATAGCGAGCACCTGGGGCGGATGGGAGGTGGTGGGGCAGAGGCACAGGCAGTGGTACAGGTTGGGGGGAGCACAGGTGTAGAAGGCCTCTAGCTGCAGCTTCAGGTGCGCTCGGGCCGAGTGGAAAAGCGTTTGCACTATGGCCAGCACCTGGGAGGGAAGGTGGAGGGGTGGGGGTCACGATGGACGGGTGCATGAAAGGGCTGCACAGGTGTAGAAGGCCTCTAGCTGCAGCTTCAGGTGGGCACGGGCTGAGAGGAATAGTGTCTGCACTATAGCGAGCACCTGGGGGGGATGGGAGGTCGTAGGGCGCATGTAAGGGGCAGAGGCACAGGCAGTGGCACAGGTTGGGGGGAGCACAGGTGTAGAAGGCCTCTAGCTGCAGCCTCAGGTGTGCTCGGGCCGAGTGGAAAAGCGTCTGTACTATGGCTAGCACCTGGGGGGAAAAAGTGTGGGGTGCATGCAAGGGGTATAGGCACAAGCAGTGGTGGAAGTTGGGCGATGAGATGACACAGGTGTAGAATTCCTCTAGCTGCAGCTTCAGGTGCGCACGGGCCGAATGGAAAAGCGTTTGTACTATAGCCAGGACCTGGGAGGGATGGGAGGTGGGGAAAAAGCATGGAGAGGCAGAGGTGGAGGTCAGAGAGAGCATATGCGGAAAGGTGCACGCGGGTGGAGTGGAGGTTAAAAGTGCTTGCACTATGGCCAGGACCTGGGGGGATGGGAGGTGGTGGATGGTGTGGGGCACATGCAAGGGGCAAAGGCACAGGCAGTGGTGTGTTTTGAAGAGAGCACAGGCGAAGATTGTGGGCGGGGGGATTAGGAGGTGGTGGATGGTGTGGGGCACATGCAAGGGGCAAAGGCACAGGCAGTGGTGTGTTTTGAAGAGAGCACAGGCGAAGATTGTGGGCGGGGGGATTAGGAGGTGGTGGATGGTGTGGGGCACATGCAAGGGGCAAAGGCACAGGCAGTGGTGTGTTTTGAAGAGAGCACAGGCGAAGATTGTGGGCGGGGGGATTAGGAGGTGGTGGATGGTGTGGGGCACATGCAAGGGGCAAAGGCACAGGCAGTGGTGTGTTTTGAAGAGAGCACAGGCGAAGATTGTGGGCGGGGGGATTAGGAGGTGGTGGATGGTGTGGGGCACATGCAAGGGGCAAAGGCACAGGCAGTGGAGGGGGGGTTGTGCGGATGGGAAGCGGTGCAGCACATGAAGAGGCAGAGGTACACTGCAGTACACTGAGGTGCACTACCTTGAGTTACCTGAAGGCTCATACCTGGGAGAGTACGAGCAGGTTGGGGGACAGTCCCAGCTGCAGCAGCAAGCGGAAGAGCTCGTCCTGAACGAGTGACAGCAGGCGCGGGTGGTGTACCACCGCTTCGAGAGAGAAGGAACAGACAGACAGCTGCAAGAAGGAATCCTCACTCACTCACCTGGGAGAGTACGAGCAGGTTGGGGGAGAGTCCCAGCTGCAGCAGCGACCGGAACAGCTCGTCCTGAACGAGCGACAGCAAGCGCGGGTGGTGTACCACCGCTGGGCCGGCGAGCTCCAGAGCAGCCGAGATCAGACTGAGCGCCAGCAGAGACACGTCATCGTCTGCTAGCATGCCCGAGGCAAAGAGCGCTGACTGGTGGTCCTCCAGGCCTAGCAGCGAGCAGAGGAAGTGAAACACCTCCACTGCACACGCCACCCCATGCGGGCGCCCCAACGCTCCCACCAACGCTCTGTTGCTGCTGCTGCCTGCCTGCCCCCGCTCCTCGCCCTCCTCCCTGTCCTCTCCCTCGCCTGCGGCTTCTCTGCTTGAGCCGCGCTGTCCCCCGGGCCGTTCGACAGGCTCGGCGGGAGGGGGAGGTTTGGCGGGTGCCGAGGCTGAGGTGGGAGGAAGGCCATTGGGTGTTGGCGTGGAGTGGGGTTCGCTGGCGGTGCTGCTGGCGCTGGTTCTGTCTGTGGCACTCACTACAGCCACCCCTCCTGCTGCGCCTACTGGGATGGGACCTGCTTCACCCTGCATGGCAACAGCAGCAGCAGCAGCAGCAGCAGCAGCACAGATGGTGCGCTTTGAAACGCCTTAAAGATGCAGCAGGGGCAGCAGCATAGGTAGCAGCACGCAGGGGACAGGGGACGAGTCGAGCAAAAAATAAGACACACGCAACAAGGCAGAGGAATATAAAAAAGACTCATTTGAACACCCCCCCACAACCCCCCCCCTCTCCCTGTTCCCAGCCCCACTCCCCCACCCACTTGATCAGACCCAGTTCAACCGCTCTCACCTGGCCAGCATTCCCACCGTCTCGGCCATCCCCGCACACGCGCATCACACCTGTTCTCCTCCCCCCCCCCTCCCCTTCCTCCCCCCCCCCTTTTCGTTTCAGAAACCCACTTCAATCGCACTCACCTGACCAGCATTCCCACCATTTCGCCCACCCCCTTCACCCCCCTCCTCCACCACCGCCCCCCCTAGCTCCAACGCACCCTCCTGCACCCCCTCCTCCCTGCTCCCCTCCCTCGCTTCCACCCGAGGGGAGAACGGAGTGCTGTCCATCGTCCCCTGTGTCGCCTCGCCTTCCCCCCACCTTTTCCCTGTTCGCAGCCCCACTCCCTGACCCAGTTCAACCACACTCACCTGACCAGCATTGCCACCATCTCGGCCCTCCCCTCCGCCCCCCTCCTCCACCATCCCTCCCCCAAGCTCCAACGCACCCTCCTGCACCCCCTCCTCCCCGCCCCCCTCCCTCGCCTCCACTCTTGGCGAGAACGGCGTGCTGTCCATCGTCCCCTGCGTCGCCTCGGCCTCCCCCAGCTCCCCTTCCTCCTCGCTCGCGGGCAGCTCGGGCAGCCGCCCGAAAATCTCGCGGACCATGTCGAGGAGGGTTTGGCAGGCGAGGCGCTGCAGCAGGTGGCTCTTGGAGGCCGCCTGGTGCAGCACGCGGAAACACGTGTTGACAATGCTGCACATGTGGCGATCCGAGAGGAGTGGGCCTGCTGGGCTGCGCACCGTTTCTAGAAGGACCTGCGGAGTGGGGTGAAAAGGGCGGGGGGGTGGGGAAATGCAAGACAAATAGGCTGGAGGCCGCCTGGTGCAGCACGCGGGAGCATGTGTTCACGATGCTGCACATGTGTCGGTCTGACAGCAGGGGACCGGCAGGAATGCGCACGGTTTCCAGGAGAATCTGGGGGATGGGGAGGGAAGGGGAAAGGGGGGAATCAGTGACTTAGAGGCCGCCTGGTGCAGCACGCGGAAGCACGTGTTGACGATGCTGCACATGTGGCGATCTGACAGCAGGGGACCCGCTGGGCTGCGCGCCGTTTCTAGAAGAACCTGGAGGGTGTGGGGGGGGGGAGGGGGGAAAAGGGGGAAAGGGGGGGGTTTGAAGACGCATAGGCTGAGGCGGCCTGGTGCAGCACGCGGAAGCACGTGTTCACGATGCTGCACATGTGACGATCGGAGAGGAGAGGACCGGCAGGGCTGCGCACCGTTTCTAGAAGAACCTGGAGGGTGGGATGGGGGGATCGGAGGGGGGAGGTGGGAAGGGGAGGGGGGAATCACAGACTGGAGGCTGCATGGTGCAGCACGCGGAAGCACGTGTTCACGATGCTGCAGATGTGACGATCGGAGAGCAGGGGTCCCGCAGGGCTGCGGACTGTCTTCAAAAGAACCTGGCGGGTGAAATGTGGGGGTGTGGATGGGAGGGGACGGAACGACATAGAGGCCGTGAACGGCTGAACGGCTCCAGCCGCGAAGCTAGGTTTCGAGGCGCACCTGAACGGCTGAATCCTAAACGTTCATGGCAGGGTCAGGAGAACCACGAGGAGAATCAGTGAGCGCTCGACAATGATCGCTCCCAGGAAAAATATCACAATAAGAGACACTTACCTCGAGACGTGGTAAAAACGAGACCTGGTGACCTCGAGACGTGGCGACCTCGACACGTGGGTACCTGGAGAGGTACCGAGTCTAGGATTGTCACAATGTCCTGGAGGTGACTGCTCCAGGTACCCATGTCCCAAGCAGTTACCTTAAGGCGCGGTTACCTGGAGGATCTTGACGAGGACCGCTTCGTCGCAACGTGGTTACCTTGACACGTGGTATTCTAAGACGCGACACGGTTACCTGGAGAATTTTGACGAGAACTGCCTCTTCCGACGCGAGATCCGTGACCTCGAAGCGGCACGACGTGACCGCGTCCATGACCATGTGGATCCCCACCGCCGCGCCGGGCGTCGACTCGTCGAAAAACTGCAGATTCAGGATCTTGAGCACTGACGACAATGCGACGCTGGTAACAATCGTGTTTGTTCGCTCGGATCGCACGACGTCGAGAAACGGCGCGAGGTACGCGGAAGGCGGCACGCGCGCCGCCTCCCAGTCGTCGTCTGACCAATCGGTGACGATCTTCTGCCTTAGGGCTTTAAGATTGCGCAAAAGCGGATCCTCCGCGTCGACGCCGGAGGTCTCGTCGAGGAAAATCGGGGAGACAGCCCATTTGGAGCTCTGGCGCATGACGGCCAATAGCGTGTGGATCTCCGTGCTGAGCTGGCACGCTCGCACGTGCGCGCGCGTGCCACTGAGAGCAGCCCTACCTGCACCGGTTCTACCTGCCGTTCTCCCGACGGCCATTGTCGATGATCCTAATCGGCTCGCCATGGTTTCAAAGACGAACTAAAGGGAGAACATTAAGCGACAGGCAAGGATTGCTGTCGAGATAGTCAACACACGAAAGGCTACATGGGAACAAGTGAGGGAAGTTAGGATTGACGTAAAAAGGGGAACCACAATAAGGACTGGAAAGCCGCAATGGAGCGTTACGCAGCTCTCCAAACTATTATTTTCAAAACCGCGGGGTAATGGTAAGGGAGCACTAGATCTTGACAGAAACTGACGGTACACACGGCCTGCTCTACACTGCGATTTACACCAACTAGACTCTGTGGACTAGAGCCGTAGTCGCGAAAACTGCATTCAAGTTTAGATAAGCTACTAGGTGCTTCACTGATACATGGTGTGCCTTTCCTCGTCAGGTGGAAACTCCACTCGCGAATCACACGACTCAGCTTTTGCCGCAGATTGGTTGGATGATTTGGCGGGTGGAGTGGACGCACCGAGGAGGCACACACAGCAGCACAGAAACTGCCAACAACAGCCCACAGAGCACTGTAACGAGAATGGTCAATGCTGGGGTGGAATTTCAAACAAAACCATATGCCCAGAACTGCATAACACTCACAGGGTACAAACAGATTCTACCTAGAAGGTTCCAAGTCTTAGAGGTGACTGGTGAGGTGGGTGAAGCGTGCAAAAAGAAACTTCTGGGTTTTCCTGGTGCTCCCTGTGCCACACGCCCTGCACCAAGCCGTGTCTCCATGAACAAGTTCGTGTTCAGAGTGATTCGATGCACAAACCCTGTAACAGGTATGCTCCAATCCAACCAATACACAAGCCTGTGGTTAGTGTGCCTGTGTGCAGTAGTTTGTTGTTAGTGTGCCCTGCATTGCAAATCAGAGCCCTCCTAGATGTGCTTAAGAGTCAGTGCAACAGCCCGCACTCGATGTGCCTATAAACATGTCCCATACCTAGTGCTCCCAAATACAACAGCCCAATGGTTAGCATGCCCCCGTGCCTGTAATAAGTTTCCCCTCTACGCAAGCCCTGTGACTACCATATCATGTACACCCGATGTACAAGCCCTGTGGTTAACCCATACTGGTGCACAAGCCCTGTGGTTAGCATGCTCTGATGGACAAGCACTGTACATCACCTGTAATTAGAGTGCTCTGACGTGCAGCTTTCTGGAAGCCATCTCACAAGTCTTGTGGTTAGCCTACTTTGCAGCACTAGCCGTGTCGCTAGCATTCCTTTATGGGCAAACCCTGGGCTCAATGCAAATTCCCTGCAGTTAGTGAGCTTCCATGCACAAGCGCTGTGTTTAATGTCTGGCATTCCGTTCATTGGACAAGCCCTGTGATTAGCGTGCCAGGAGGCACAAGCCCTGTGATTAGCGTGCCAGGAGGCACAAGCCCTGTGATTAGCGTGCCAGGAGGCACAAGCCCTGTGATTAGCGTGCCAGGAGGCACAAGCCCTGTGATTAGCGTGCCAGGAGGCACAAGCCCTGTGATTAGCGTGCCAGGAGGCACAAGCCCTGTGATAAGCGTGCCAGGAGGCACAAGCCCTGTGATTAGCGTGCCAGGAGGCACAAGCCCTGTGATTAGCGTGCCAGGAGGCACAAGCCCTGTGATTAGCGTGCCAGGAGGCACAAGCCCTGTGATTAGCGTGCCAGGAGGCACAAGCCCTGTGATTAGCGTGCCAGGAGGCACAAGCCCTGTGATTAGCATGCCAGGAGGCACAAGCCCTGTGATTAGCGTGCCAGGAGGCACAAGCCCTGTGATTAGCGTGCCAGGAGGCACAAGCCCTGTGATTAGCGTGCCAGGAGGGACAAGCCCTGTGATTAGCGTGCCAGGAGGCGCAAGCCCTGTGATTAGCGTGCCAGGAGGCACAAGCCCTATGATTAGCGTGCCAGGAGGCACAAGCCCTGTGATTAGCGTGCCAGGAGGCACAAGCCCTGTGATTAGCGTGCCAGGAGGCACAAGCCCTGTGATTAGCGTGCCAGGAGGCACAAGCCCTGTGATTGGCGTGCCAGGAGGCACAAGCCCTGTGATTAGCGTGCCAGGAGGCACAAGCCCTGTGATTAGCGTGCCAGGAGGCACAAGCCCTGTGATTAGCGTGCCAGGAGGCACAAGCCCTGTGATTAGCGTGCCAGGAGGCACAGGCCCTGTGATTGGCGTGCCAGGAGGCACAAGCCCTGTGATTAGCGTGCCAGGAGGCACAAGCCCTGTGATTAGCGTGCCAGGAGGCACAAGCCCTGTGATTAGCGTGCCAGGAGGCACAAGCCCTGTGATTAGCGTGCCAGGAGGCACAAGCCCTGTGATTAGCGTGCCAGGAGGCACAAGCCCTGTGATTAGCGTGCCAGGAGGCACAAGCCCTGTGATTAGCGTGCCAGGAGGCACAAGCCCTGTGATTAGCGTGCCAGGAGGCACAAGCCCTGTGATTAGCGTGCCAGGAGGGACAAGCCCTGTGATTAGCGTGCCAGGAGGCACAAGCCCTGTGATTAGCGTGCCAGGAGGCACAAGCCCTGTGATTAGCGTGCCAGGAGGCACAAGCCCTGTGATTAGCGTGCCAGGAGGCACAAGCCCTGTGATTAGCGTGCCAGGAGGCACAAGCCCTGTGATTAGCGTGCCAGGAGGCACAAGCCCTGTGATTAGCGTGCCAGGAGGCACAAGCCCCGTGATTAGCGTGCCAGGAGGCACAAGCCCTGTGATTAGCGTGCCAGGAGGCACAAGCCCCGTGATTAGCGTGCCAGGAGGCACAAGCCCTGTGATTAGCGTGCCAGGAGGCACAAGCCCTGTGATTAGCGTGCCAGGAGGCACAAGCCCTGTGATTAGCGTGCCAGGAGGCACAAGCTCTGTGATCAGCGTGCCAGGAGGCACAAGCCCTGTGATTAGCGTGCCAGGAGGCACAAGCCCTGTGATTAGCGTGCCAGGAGGCACAAGCCCTGTGATTAGCGTGCCAGGAGGCACAAGCCCTGTGATTAGCGTGCCAGGAGGCACAAGCCCTGTGATTAGCGTGCCAGGAGGCACAAGCCCTGTGATTAGCGTGCCAGGAGGCACAAGCCCCGTGATTAGCGTGCCAGGAGGCACAAGCCCTGTGATTAGCGTGCCAGGAGGCACAAGCCCTGTGATTAGCGTGCCAGGAGGCACAAGCCCTGTGATTAGCGTGCCAGGAGGCACAAGCTCTGTGATCAGCGTGCCAGGAGGCACAAGCCCTGTGATTAGCGTGCCAGGAGGCACAAGCCCTGTGATTAGCGTGCCAGGAGGCACAAGCCCTGTGATTAGCGTGCCAGGAGGCACAAGCCCTGTGATTAGCGTGCCAGGAGGCACAAGCCCTGTGATTAGCGTGCCAGGAGGCACAAGCCCTGTGATTAGCGTGCCAGGAGGCACAAGCCCTGTGATTAGCGTGCCAGGAGGCACAAGCCCTGTGATTAGCGTGCCAGGAGGCACAAGCCCTGTGATTAGCGTGCCAGGAGGCACAAGCCCTGTGATTAGCGTGCCAGGAGGCACAAGCCCTGTGATTAGCATGCCAGGAGGCACAAGCCCTGTGATTAGCGTGCCAGGAGGCACAAGCCCTGTGATTAGCGTGCCAGGAGGCACAAGCCCTGTGATTAGCGTGCCAGGAGGCAAAAGCCCTGTGATTAGCGTGCCAAGAGGCACAAGCCCTGTGATTAGCGTGCCAGGAGGCACAAGCCCTGTGATTAGCGTGCCAGGAGGCACAAGCCCTGTGATTAGCGTGCCAGGAGGCACAAGCCCTATGATTAGCGTGCCAGGAGGCACAAGCCCTGTGATTAGCGTGCCAGGAGGGACAAGCCCTGTGATTAGCGTGCCAGGAGGCACAAGCCCTGTGATTAGCGTGCCAGGAGGCACAAGCCCTGTGATTAGCGTGCCAGGAGGCACAAGCCCTGTGATTAGCGTGCCAGGAGGCACAAGCCCTGTGATTAGCGTGCCAGGAGGCACAAGCCCTGTGATTAGCGTGCCAGGAGGCACAAGCCCTGTGATTAGCGTGCCAAGAGGCACAAGCCCTGTGATTAGCGTGCCAGGAGGCACAAGCCCTGTGATTAGCGTGCCAGGAGGCACAAGCCCCGTGATTAGCGTGCCAGGAGGCACAAGCCCTGTGATTAGCGTGCCAGGAGGCACAAGCCCTGTGATTAGCGTGCCAGGAGGCACAAGCCCCGTGATTAGCGTGCCAGGAGGCACAAGCCCCGTGATTAGCGTGCCAGGAGGCACAAGCCCTGTGATTAGCGTGCCAGGAGGCACAAGCTCTGTGATTAGCGTGCCAGGAGGCACAAGCTCTGTGATTAGCGTGCCAGGAGGCACAAGCCCTGTGATTAGCGTGCCAGGAGGCACAAGCCCTGTGATTAGCGTGCCAGGAGGCACAAGCCCTGTGATTGGCGTGCCAGGAGGCACAAGCCCTGTGATTAGCGTGCCAGGAGGCACAAGCCCTGTGATTAGCGTGCCAGGAGGCACAAGCCCTGTGATTAGCGTGCCAGGAGGCACAAGCCCTGTGATTAGCGTGCCAGGAGGCACAAGCCCTGTGATTAGCGTGCCAGGAGGCACAAGCCCTGTGATTAGCGTGCCAAGAGGCACAAGCCCTGTGATTAGCGTGCCAGGAGGCACAAGCCCTGTGATTAGCGTGCCAGGAGGCACAAGCCCCGTGATTAGCGTGCCAGGAGGCACAAGCCCTGTGATTAGCGTGCCAGGAGGCACAAGCCCTGTGATTAGCGTGCCAGGAGGCACAAGCCCTGTGATTAGCGTGCCAGGAGGCACAAGCCCTGTGATTAGCGTGCCAGGAGGGACAAGCCCTGTGATTAGCGTGCCAGGAGGCACAAGCCCTGTGATTAGCGTGCCAGGAGGCACAAGCCCTGTGATTAGCGTGCCAGGAGGGACAAGCCCTGTGATTAGCGTGCCAGGAGGCACAAGCCCTGTGATTAGCGTGCCAGGAGGCACAAGCCCTGTGATTAGCGTGCCAGGAGGCACAAGCCCTGTGATTAGCGTGCCAGGAGGCACAAGCCCTGTGATTAGCGTGCCAGGAGGCACAAG